GTATTTATGTGTATAAATAAATAAACCTTGTAGTAGGCGACTAATGCACCATATATAAACTGGATAAACTTAAAAGTAAGGCCATCAACAACGTCATTTGATGGCAAATAGTTAGAAATCTAAATTGCACTAGCTTTATTCCAGCACATTAGTGATCTCACCAGATATGATTTACGAAGTTCCTAGTCTCGCTTGGACTTAGTCTTCACACACGGTGATGATGTCGGTCAAATTATTTTCCTCCCATCTCTAGGAAAAAGTGATCATGCAGTCATCTTATTCCAGTTCATGGCTGAGATGGCCTGTCAATCAGTTGCGCTGGCCCGTCCTAACATATGGAAGGCAGATATAGAGGCGATAAACTGTGCAGAATTGGTTGAAAGCTGGAAAATTGACTCAGGAGCATCATTAGAAGAGGCATGGACTCATTTCAGGCAGTTATACAATCAGGTAACCCAACTACATATACCCTGAACAGTTCCAAAGAAGAAGCACGGCCACCCCTGGATAGGCCTGGATATTCGACGTTTACCAAAACAAAAGAAGATATATTGGACCGTTGTCATCAGCCTTGGTACAACAAGTACGGTAAAACTCTATAGGTCGGTAAGGAATATGTGTATAATTAAAATCCGGGAAACTCACAGAAAATATGAAATGCGGTTAGCCCAATCTGTAATCAAGCAGCCTAAGAGACTATTCTCGTACATATATTACAAAACAAGGACGCAGCATTGGATTCCCAACCTAAGTACAGAAAGTAGTGTATCTGAAATGATAGAGGATAATCAGGAAGAGCGGAGGCTATGGAAAACTATTTCAGGGCAGTTTTCACTCAGCAGCCTCTTCTAGACGAAGAACTAGACTCAAATAGAAAGTCAACAAACCGTCTGCTTACCGTGGACTTTGATCGAGACTATGTACTTAAGGCTTTTAGCAATTTGGAGACTGAAAAGTCACCAGGACCGGATGAACCACACCCCACTGACTGTGATATTCAACATGTCACTTGGCCAAGGTGTATTACCTACAGACTGAAAGGATGCAATCGTCACTTCCATACATAAAACAGGACCAAGACAACTTCCATCAAACTACAGACCTGTCAGCCTCACCAGTGTCCTAGTTAAAATACTGTAAAGGATAGTCAAAAAGACCATAATGACATTCAGGAGAACCAAAACTTGTTATGCAGTAAACAACATAGTTTCAGGAAAGGTTTATCTTGCACAGCAAACCTCCTTATGGCAAGGGAGCAATGGGTAGAGGCTCTTGACAATGGGAAATCAGTGGATGTTGTCTAGATAGACCTCAGCGAAGCATTTGATAAGGTACCGACAAATAGACAAGCTGGAAAATCTACGCGCTGCTTGACCTCTTCTAAAATGGACTAAGGATTTCTTGGTAAGTCGTAAACAGAAAGTAAGAACAAATTCCAAGTACTTCTCCTGGAAACCAGCACTTAATGGAGTAATGGAAGGTTCTGTCCTAGGTCCTCTACTTTTTATACTGTCTGTAAATGGATTCCTAAGTATAGTTGAGTCACCAATGTTACTATACGCTGATGTAAAAGTCTGTCAAGAAATAACAGGAGACGCAGATGCATGCGTACTTCAGGCAGACTTGAATATTATGATTGGCTGGTCTAAAGAGTGGCTAATGCCTATCAACTCGGCAATGCGCATCTACATGCACTTTGGGGAAACAAAGGTAGATTGATACAGCATAGGCAGAATGCCCGTACCCGTGGTCCGGTCTCACAAGGTTCTTGAGGTAACTGTGAATCATAATCTTAAGACCAAGGCCTACTGCCGGAAGGTTGCAGCTAAGGGGTTTAGAACCCTATAACTTGAAAAATGTATTTCTTAAAGCTCAGACACTATCATGTTCACTAAAGTATACGCAACCTTAGTGTGAACTATACTTAAAAATTGCGCTCAGGCTACAAGCTCCTGTTTTAAAGGTGACTCGGATATCCCGGAAAAAGTACAGAGGGCAGGTACCCGTATAGTCCCAGAACTCGGGGGTCTGCCATGCAAAGAGCAGCTTGAAAAGCTAGACCTCTTTATTCTGTCCTATCGCAGACTAACAGGTGATCTAATTTTAATGTGTAGAATACTAAGAGATGATTTTGGACCATATTGCCATCAGTCATCGTTGGAGAGGCTCGATAGAAAACTGCTGATCGTTCTGGAATACATGTTTAGACTCTGATCATGCTTTAATACAAGCTTGCCTTCGCTTGCGCCTCACTGGACGCAGAAAAACTACACTAAGAAGACCCATTAGAATTGAACTGGGGGACGAGAAAGCCAAAAGTAAGTTCCAGAAACAACTAAGTTCACATTTAGGCAGTTCTGTAAACGAGGCTCACCCAGATGTTTCTTGGAAAGATATACAAACAGTGCGGAAACATCAGTAATGTCTATTAGTAATTTAAACCAAAGGGTTACAAAAAAAATGGAAGGCTCGTTACTCGAACACTACCAGTCGAGTCAGAACTTACGGCGAACTGTCATCTGACTTCGCAACCTTAAGTGGTGTCTGGTAAGTCTGTCCACTATCTTCATTTTTGTTAAATTTCATCATAGACCTAGTGCTGGAAATAACGTGCTCGTCCACTGAATTTTCAGGAATTGATCTCTTCCCGGAAGGTCTACTTATTGACTTAGAATACACAGATAACGTAGTCCTGTTTGGTGAGGTTGCTGATAAAATGCAGAATGTTTTGGTAGCACTGAGTAGCAATGCCAGGATGTTTTGGATAAGTTTCTGTCCCTCTAAATGCAAGTTGTTGCTTCACGACTGGCTTGCGTCAACACTTTAACTAAGGATAAGGAGTGATGGTAAATCAGTTGATGAGGTTATGAATCTTCATAGACTGAGATGGTCGGGCCACGTGTTGTTAGGTATGCCTGAACACCGATCACCACGACGCGCAATGCTGAATAGTATTGGGGATGGTTGGAAAAAAGTTAATGGCTGCCAAACCAAAACATGGTATCAGTGTGTGAAGTTACTAACCTCCGGTCTGAGCCATGTTAGTAGATTCAGACTACTTGGTTGGTGTCCGCATAACTATCGTAACCAATGGTTGGGGACTCTGGGTGACATGGTACAGAATGGATCACTGTGGAGTAGGTGTGTACATTCTCTGTCTTCCTTTAAACTGTGAGATTGAAATTATTTTATGTCTTTCTTTCTACGAACTAACCCTTTCTCCCTGTATCATATCCTTATATGAAATCTTTTTTGGTGGGATTAAACTATACTGCCGAGCCAATCAGAAGCTTTCGCGGGTTTTCAAGGTCACGGCGCTAAGTTCGGTACCTGATGCTTACGTACGGTTAGTTTACAGCGGATTTCAGGAAAGATGTGATAATTTAGCGTCTACAATAGAAGTGATCATAGGATTTTGGCGCGAAATTCAATTATCCATTTGGATAAATAGAGTTTTGGCATTATAGCTGATGTCAGTTCGGGATGAAAACCCTAAGTATAATTCCTAGCCTTAATCATGAACTGTAAATCATAATTTGTATTCTTCACACAGGTTTATAACCCTCATTTGGTCCTAGTTATTATGTTGACACTCTCAGAGTCACTCTAGCGTCGCTCAAAGGTTGTCCATAACTTATAGTCTCACCCATAACCCTACACCTAAATCTTAACTCTAACCCTAACTCGTAAACCATACCAATATACTAACATTGAAGCTATGTGGTCGGGGCTAAAAGAATTTTTGAGACCTTATCACGGTTTCAGAGGTCGACTACTATGGAGCCATATGGATGTGTTCCTGTACCGTATGCACTAAGATTTTAAAACTTCTGAACCTATATCTGACCTTGAGAAGTTTTAGACCCATGTAAAAGAAGTGTTTCCACTTTAATTCTTTGGTTTTGTATAATATATTTTTATTGTATACTAACTGTCTTCTGATTGGCTAATATTTCTCAAGGTCATTTAAAATTCGTTCAAAGGTCGGCAGTATAGTTTAATGTTACCGGTATGACAACTTGAACCGACGCATATATGTACCTGGTCCTACGTTGTACCTGCTCGATTGACTGAGAAAAGCCAAGGACGGAAAAAATACCTGTGGCATACAGGTTTTTACACCGCGTCATTAATTCTTGGGATCTGTTACCCGAAGCAGTGTTGTCCGCACCTGCAATTGACTCATTCAAGAGAAGACTAGACACACAGAAACATACTAGAAAAGGAATGACATAGACCATATGCCTTATGTCCTTGCTACACAAATCTGAAATCCGACCTGAATCTGATCATTATTATTTCATAGGTTTTAACATATCTTAGCTACCTAATCACAAATTGAGTGTGGCTTATAGCCTGGGATGTGAACTATTCTAGTTTTTAAATTGCCTTTAATGTTATAAAAGTCAACAAAATAAGACAGTTGGCCATTTAGTCATTATAAATGTTATCAAATAGTTAATAAATCTGCCTCATCAACCGTCTCATTGATTTCCTTACTGGCATATTGCATGCATATAAGGACAAAAACAATTAAAACTCACTTTTTAGATTTCCAACTGCTTGTCCATGGAATGTTTCGTATAAATGCAAAACTGTGAATCATTAGGCTGTTCGAATGAGTTTTATCCATCAGGTAATTTCCTCAAGTACTGTTCCACCTGCCAACTTTGGGTAGTATCAGTAATTCAACATGTGGTCATCTTGTAGCCCAGGGACGTCAATGTAATTTAAAAGTTGTTACATTATTGTCGATATGTATTTGCCTGAGTTGTTTATTCTTGCCAATTTGGAGATGTAAAACAAAATTCCTAAATTTTAACCTTTCTAAATATTTACCATGCCTTCGGATAAAATTGTTTAGATTACACGACCTTGATTTTTAGGTATGAAATTTATGCACCCAATTTGATTATTTTTTATATTGAAAGGAAAAATAATTCAAAATGGTTTATTTCATCTAAAGAAGCTGATGGATTTATGGCCCCCGACCTTCCTACATGTTTTATTCTACTTTCATGAAGGCAACAAGAATTCGAGAAGCATTTTGCCATGGTTTGTGGTCGCCTACTAAGTCTGACTTTCTTTTTTCTCTTAACTGTCTTTCCCTGAATGAACAACAAGTAGCTTTGCGTTTCGCTTACCAACGAGATGTACTTAGTTCTATGGTACGTTAATATTTGTATTTGTACATGACTTGGTAGGTTGGAAAGCTACTTATCCGTCGAACGGCTGTACGATACCTTGAAATTTCTACACATGATGTTAAACTAGAACGTTCTCCGGAAGGAAGGCCATATATTTTGGGTTATTCTGATGTGTTGGACTTCAATATTTCACATGGTGGCGACTTCACCATAATTGCTGCAACTTCTGAGGGCCGATGTGGGACTGATGTCATGCCTATAGAACTGCCAGGTTAGTTCCTTCTGTGTTATATTTTACTGTTGTACACTTCGACATCGTCTATCTTGTTTTCTGTAATATTCCAAATACTTAAAATAAATAGTGGTTGGATATTATCAACCAGACATATGGAAAGAAACAACTGTTTAAAAAGCCATACTTTAGTAAAGTAAGTAGTCTATTTTAATTTGAATGAAGTTATTTAGTCTTACACAATATCTTGGCTCCATATCTTCGCATTGTAATCATATAACAACACACGTAGCAATATTATCAGAGATTTCGGCCCTTTAAAACTCGTATAGTTGATAATCTAGGGACATTTCTCTTTTCAAAAGAAGTTAGTACTCAGGAACTATCCAAGATTCAAATAGGTTAAGTAATTTAGCAACCAAATATTTGTAAATATTTGAAACATATACTTATTATTACTCCACAATAGTAACTCTATCATTCAGATGGTATATAATTGACTGAGTGATGTTCTTTAAATCCGCCAACTTACTGCAGTGATGTTACTGGATCTTTGTAATTCTAATCTATACTTTTCTTCCTTGAAATGTTTTGTTTGTAAATCTTCGGTCAGCATTTCAAAGGTCCGTAAATGACTTCGTTTTGAAAATGAAGGATATATTTTCCTCTACAGAAGTGAACCGTATTTTATCTTCTGGGTCTGAAGCTGAAAAAATGAGAAAATTTTATGAACATTGGGTAGGTAAAATTCCATCCCCAAGTAATACGTTTGATGCAGTTAGTACATTCCATGTTAATTGTCATGTAGAACATGCACATTCTTGTGTTTGTTAACAGCATAAGTATATATACGGCTAGCCAACTTGAAAAATCCATTGGACACTACTTATGATTTTTTTCTCGATTAATATTGGAATATGAGTTGTCGAAATGCATATCGTTTAAGCCTGTTGTCGCTTAGTTAATGGTATTTGGTATAGCTTCCTGATCTTAAAAATACTAAATAAATACCCAGCTGAAAAGGTTCCTCATTATTGGTATCTAGTATATTTTTTTAAAAAACAGTAGGGCTTTTGTGTCGTGACAAACGTACTTGTCCTGAAATGATTTGACGTCAAATGAGATATAATGTATGGTCAAGAATTATAAAGACCAGTCGACCTCTGCACTATCGTTAAAGACATTAAATAACTGGAAACTCATTCAGACTGTTTTGATGCCTAAGAAGATTTAGTATTACAACATAGTTACTCTGATTAAATTAGGGTCTTCCAGCAACATAATTTCTTCAAAAAATAAGACTTTTCCAGTAACCTTATTTAAAACACCCAAATGTCACGCTTGTTCTTTGTGTTTGTAATATAGGGACACTAATTAGCGCTGACGCTCTACTCAGTGGTAATGTTTACAGACCAGTCATTCTAAATATACCTGTACTATTTATGAGCTAAGCAGTTGCGAATTCTAGCTCTTTGTCTTAAGGCTATCAATCACTCCTCAATACGCCTAAAAAGATCTTATGAACAATCAGAATAAAATAGGTTTAAATCGAACCGGATTTAAAAAACGTGTCAATACCCCATTGTTATGTTAAACTTGCAGTCATTATAGTTCAGTTTGTGGTTTCATGTAGCTCCCTTCTTCCTCATATTATTAATAATTGTTTCATTTTCAGTCGACACATATTTGTTCTAATTCCATATTTTTAATGCACTAGTCGAAAAAATATTGCTGTCGTTGTAACATAACTTGGTTCGATTGTTTGATATTCAACTACCAATCACTGAATCCAACTAATGTCATTCTGTTAAACAAGAATAACAAAAGTTTTAACTTACTACTCATTATTTCTTTCAGTGTTTTAAAGAAGCTTATGTTAAAGCTTTAGGATGTGGACTTCGTATCCCCTTAAAAACAATAGAATGCCAATTTTCTGACGGTGGCAATGAATTGTCGCTTGGTAATGAGCTCATAAATCAGCCAGATAAAAATTGGGCCTTTGAAAAACATAATCTACCTCAAAATCATCTGGCAGTAGTTGCTTGGTCTGAAAATACATATGTGGCAAGTTCCTAAGTACTTTATGTTTACTATTTACTTAGAGAATTATTGGTTACTAACAAACCGAGCGAGCTATAATTTTGCGTTTTTATAATTATTGAACTTTAATGTACCAACTATGCTTCACCTTTCCCAAAACGTTATTGAAGATCGAAGTATTTACCTTTATTTCCAACTGAACTATCTCGTTGATCTCATGTTACAACTCGCCTATCACTAAGTATTTTGACGTTATTAAAATTTTTATGATTTTCGCTCAGTTTTTTAAGCTGTCTTTATCCGAACGATGATGTCCGTCCACGATTCACGTTAAATTTAAACCTTGTCGACCACAGAGAAATCACTGTCTATCTTTTCATTCCAAAGGACAAATGAGACTGGTAGAGATGTACATCTTGTTTTGTTATCTTTTTCACTCTGCTAATGTTTCACTTTTTTGATCTATAAACAACACCCTCATCATTGAACAGCTTTTATTACAATACACAGAAATATGCTTTCTCATCGTTATACATTCAGGGAAATCTTATATGACAAATGTTGATGTATAGCATAATGGTATTATTCTTTCCGTCGTAATTATCTTACTACAGGCTGCTTTTCCGGGAACAAAGATATTCCGTAGGACTTATTTTAGTGCATTTATACCATTTCCTATAGTATCCCGCAAAATGGTTGGGCATCAATCTTTTGGACGGATTCATTTTAGGCTGCAAATTATATGCACATGATATGTGAGCAGTCGTATAATATCCCTAACCTTTAAAAAAGTGACTTTTGCCCAAAACCCAGTACAAGTAATAATATTTGGTTGCTGAGATATGGGAACTGTAATCGTAAGCGGTTTCTAACCATACTTTATTTTTAACAGCATTGGTGATTTTTTATGTTTAATACATACTTCCTTGTGAATGTTTCTCGTTTTTGTAGGAGGCCAAAACCAGTACCTCATTCTCCCAGCTGACATTTGAACAGTTAGTGGATAAGTTAGCAGTCCTATCGCCTGTAGATAATACTGCTTGGGATCAATTTCTGGGGAAGCCTCATTCACCACCATCATCTCGTCAACGAATTCAAGTTAATTAATTCGGATTTAATTCATTGTTGACATTTATTTAGTCGCCAATTGCATGCTAATCATTGATTTTGGAATATAAATTATTTTATTTAAGGGAAAATTTTGTATATTTATGAAATAAACATTTTACTGGCCTATTCAGCTTAATTCAAGCATCATGAGCCATTAAGGAAAATTGATTCGAAGATCAGCTTTAGGTAAATCATTGGACCACATTAAAAAATCGTCAGTGTAATCAGGTTTGATTTGTTCATCTGTTAGATATGATTCCCAAGCAGTTCCGAAAAAATGTACCAAAGTTGTAGTCAGCATAAGATAAATGAATTGATAGGGTACACATACAGTGTATCTTCGAAAAACATTGTGTGCCCAATGTACAGGTAAACTTAACTCCAACATTGTCGAATTTCCTGCAGTGGGTAGTTTTTCAATGAAGCGATTTGGATCAAATACTCTGTGAGGTTGATATTTGGTAGACCCATTCTCATCAGCAGCCCATAAATCTGGATCTGAGTAGTAGGAAGGCTCATCAAAAAGCACTAATTCTCCTTCAGCAAAGTCTTGCTTTAGTATTTCCCCATCGCGGAGGGCTTGACGTAAACAACCAAATGGCCAACCAGGTACACATAAACGCAGCGTCTCTTGAATTAAAGCCTTTGTCCAAACCAAACATTGTGTGTGCTCCAAAGACATGCAAAGATGTGACTAAAAGGGAAAATACTTGGACGATTAGCTTTCAGAAAAATACGGAGCAAAATAACAAAACGTTGATGAAATCTACTTACAGTGTATCGCAAAGCGCCATCTAAAATCGGTCTTGATCTTTCTCAAAGATCATCGTAAAAGGATACAAAGTTGTTTCTTAATAGTCATTTGGATTAAATACAAACAACGTAAACAGCTCTATTTCCTGGATCGAATTTCCTCAGTATTACAAATAAACTTGAATCCAACCGAAAAAGATAACATAATCACACTAATTCAATCTAGTGGACAGGATATGGTCTCTTGTGTTGGTGATTTCAAACTAATACTCATGGCTCTCAGTAGTATGTGTATTTTATGGTACTTTCCGTCGCCATACTTGAATGTTTAAACATTTCATTTCTTTTAGTTATCATGAAAGGACCTTAAAGCATCGGCCAATAAGTGAATCCTCAAGTTACTATTGTTTTACTAACATATTTGCACAGGTTGATGATTGGAGATATCGGTAGGATTGGTGTACTACTGTCTCGTGATCTACCTTCATCCATTTAATTACTTCTGTCACTGGATCAAGAGAATATCGTGTTGTAATAGCCGGTGAGGTCAGATATCATATCGTTTCACAGGTAAAAAACTTTTCCGACAAATGAGATACAATTTCCTAAGTCTGTAAATATATCTGTGTGCAGTCGGAATAGTTTAGCTTTGGTACATGTTTAAGACCATTTACAAAAATAGGTTTTAACCTGACAATTACTTGATTGAAATCCATCTTTAGTAAAACCGATTTCGTTTGTTTTGATTAAATTGTCACAGCCATTATTTTCAGACTGATATTTTGAAACACATACCAACTACATTCACATGGCAATTGGGATCGATTTTACTCTCACTATTATCGAAGGGATATTTTAGAAGCGATCAGTAACTATCATCAATTCAATCTGATTCACCACAACACACACACGACTCCTCATATGACAGGTTAAGACTTCAATATCCAGTTAACTTAGCTTAGGAGTCGAATCGCAAACTAACTAATAAGTTTCTGTCCAAGATATGTAAAAAAGGTGCCCACTAAACTTATTATTATCAAGTAAACAACTTCAGTCCTTTTTACCTTTTAGTAATTTTCTCTTGGAAGTTCAAATGAAGTGCAAGACTGAATCTAAGCTCTTTTACCTGCCAATATTCAACAGCTACGCATGTCCAGTGCTTGGGGAATTTCTACCCTCTTGTAATCTCAGACCATCATATATCACTCAGATATTCCAATGTTGACCCCCAAGCTATATTTTTATAGAAATTAAATGTGCGGATTTTTGTGTATGTATTTATCAAGCTAAATAACATAGTACTGGTTCTTTGTGTTTATTAATAGGTTGGATTCTGTGAACCCTAAGGAAATTTTCTGTTAGATCTAATGTAAACAAAATGGTAAACCTTTCACTGAATATTATTTGATCATCAATTAGTGTTTGTTTAAATCACTTTATATATGGTCAAAAAATGAAAACGTATCATATAAGTGAATCCTACAGAATTTAACTCACTATAGAATGGCTGCATAATGATGTAGACTTTTGTGTTTTATGATTATATTGGGCTTCTAAAAACTGTTTACATTCTTTTCTTACATTATCTTGCCATTTTGGTTTAATAGCTAGAACTGTCAATAGAGTTTTTAAAGTCTTATTCATTATATACCTAGTTATTAAACAACATTCACCAAGTAAATGAATAATATGTGTTAATGTTAGGAATTCGTTGGAACTTCCTTCCTCTTTCAAATAATGATATGTATTAATGAGTTGTAATAATAGATTTGTTGGTTTCTCGCTTGTTTGTAAATATTCTAGATTACCATCTGAATTGTTAATATTTTCTTTTATTTCACTATTCAGAAATTTATCCAAATAATAATGAATTAAGGGATATATAAGACTGTGAAACGTAGTTATTAACTCATTCGTATTATGAGATGATGGGTTGTTGGAAAATGACTGTAAGATTGCTTTAAATGCATTAGACTTTTTTATAAAGTTCCCATGTGTATGTAAGGATTCCAGTGAGATTATGCATTTTCTTAGATCTAAAATGAATTTTTCTTTTCCAAAACAAAATGTATTGTCTGAAGCAGTTTCGCAAAAAATTTCTGATGGACCGAAAAAAAATACTTCTGAATACACACTACATATCCACATGTCTAAACGTTTTTCAGATTTTGCACAGTTGTTAGTACTAACTAATATAGAGCCAAGTGATTGAGGATCAGCTCCTAAATGGCCGATACGTTCGAATATCTTAATTGGTAAACTATTGAAGGCCAACAACACCAGCTCAATCAATTCAGATCTAAACTGTAAAGTATCATCAGCAATCATTAAGCCACACCATTTCCGTCGGAATGATTCTAAAGAAAAAATAAACATGAAATTTAAAACAACGTTAGTTTCTGTTGATTTGTTTTTGAAGTAAAATACAATTTAAATGTAATTGATGGTACAATTTTGACGAGTTTCCTACTACATATGGCTTTTTAACTAGATTTCAGGTTTTGATTCAAATACTTATTTCGCACTGTTTGTCGTTTCTTTCATTGGTATACGCGCAGAAATTTTGTACGATCATGTTAAGCTATAGCTCAAGGATTCAAACGCTAGGCTGCTATAGGATAAGTTATATATCTTAAATTGACCAAGAGTTAAGCTTCTAATTTGCAGTTGTTACGCAAGAGGTAACGCTTATACCTCAGTAGAAAAATGTGGCTGTGATTACAGTATTTCATTACATACAGTAAATCAGAATCAATATGGGATTTGGTGTGAATCTGCATTTGTCCAAATCATCAGATAACATCAGTGCCAAGCTGAGATTAGCATGACTATACATCACACTCTGACTTCCTAGTATTCTCTAAACCCTATATATTTTAATCTATAGTAAATATATTTGAATATTAGCATAACCCCATAGCCAAAAACACGTAATCGGCTTTAAGATATTTACCGTGTATTAGAAGTACCAGCCAACTCTGTAACACTCAAGTGCGATGGTATGCTACTTTGTGACTCAAGAATTGAAAATTGAGTGCTAAAATCAATAATCGTCTGAAAGACATAGAGACTGAGATGTGAGTGTAATAAATCTTTTGCATATACTTACTATACAATCCATCCTAAAAAATGATCTTCAGCTTTGTAAATACTCGTCATATTTTGTATGTATCAAAAGCAGCCAATCTAGTCACAATAAATACTGTGTTACTATTTTGGTCAATTTGGGGTTATATATATCTAGAGACAAATTACTGCTACTAGACCGGTGTTATTGTTGCTCTATCCATATTTTCGTAAAAATAACAAGATTTAGTTTAAGCAACTTATTTAGTGAGTTTATTAGTCGTGAAAAGTGCTAGTAAGAAACCAATCCCGGTATTCCAGCAAAAATATTCGACATTTCCAGATTAAAACTCTGGTGATAGCATCATCAGTTCCATTGGTTGTCGATGGAAATAGTGTACCGTTATACTTTCTCGTCCCAACCTAATCTTGAAATGATAACCATTTATCAGTATGCTTTACATTGGCCCAAATAACCATTTTATGGTTAAAAAAAGACATCAAATACAAATCTTTGACGAAATTTAAGCAACAAACTGAATAGTAAATAATGGATGTGGTTTATTCACTTTAGTGAATGGATGTCAGCCAAGTCGTCTTTTATCAGGATCATAAACGTTTTAGTTGTTTGGGTATTGTACTTAGTTCATGTTAGACTTATCAATAACTTCAATATATGGCTACCACTTTAGGATAACTACAATTTATCTCGATGGGTAGTGAAAACTGTTAAGATACTCAAACTGTTTTACCTTCCAATAAGAGACTTATCAATTGCAGTCCTAAACATCAATGGGAAGTTTCAAACAAACAATGCGAAAATACTTTCCCTGTTATTTTAAGACAAGTAACTCTTGTAATTCCAACAGACTCATTGAGAATCATGAAACCCCTCATGTCTTCATGATATGAAAATAAAAATTGCAAATGAATTTTCCAAACGGCTTGTTTAGCATTCTCCACAATCTACCAGAAATATTTTAACCCAAGTTCTGAATTAAATTAGATGTATGGGTTCCTGATTGCCGATCTTTCAACAAAATCTCAGAACTGTTAACTGAGTTTCTTGACATGAGTGACCAAACAGTTTCATCTTACAACACAACAGTACTTTTCCGGAAAAATTTTCGTCCACATTTCAGAAATTTAACATTACTGACCTATTGCCATCTTCCTTGGGATTCAAAAAAATACATTTGGACATTTTGCTCTATAGTTTGGTTGACTGTAGGATGAACTCAACGTGTTATGTAGCCTGTTGAGCAGACATCTTGAGCTAGCAGAATAGTAATTCTAACCCTCTGGTAGTTATCATTTTTTTAACAAGCAACGTGATTCATTTTAGTAAATTAAACAGTCAGTTGATATTTTGAAAGAAAATGAGTGGGAAAGCAATTAATAAATGCTTTATTTTAAACTTACTTGGAGCTAAGGAATAGTGTAGATCTAACAGAGGATATCGGTCATAAAGAGTGATTAATTTCCAATCTTCAACAAAAATGACATTTTGTTTATTTAAGTAACCCCTTACCAGGGGAAACTTTTGTCTTCTAGATGCATAGAATGATGTCAAGCGGAATGATCCATTTTGGCATAGATCATTGAAACTGTGAAAACATAAACGCTTATCTATCGGAGGATTATTATAATGCTTCAAATTTTTAATTGGAGAATCACAATTACTTACTTTTTTTGAAATACGCCAAGCTAGTAAGAATAAAAAGACTAGAAAAGACAGTATAGTCGACACAATTTTTAGTGTTAAGTCCAGTGACCGACTTTCAGTGAATAAACCCTTATAAGTATATAATCTAGGTGGAGGTTCCATCAATTCTGAAATAAAACAAAAACGGTAACTGAAAGGATATCTTCATTTAATTAACAAAATATTCTGCATTCAGATCTAACATGGAAGGACAACATGATCAATCCAAAGTATGAAGAATTTCAGACTACCTTTTACAAACAAAATATTATTTATGCGACAAATAAGATTATGCATAACAAACATTATTAAAATACAGTATAAGCATGAAATCACTTTAATCCCATTAACAATTCTATCGATTTAAATTCTACATCCTACTTTGCAACATTAGCACATTATGTTAGTAATCTCAGAGCGTTACCTTGATCTCTAAATTATTACGGTAATTAGAATTGCTCAAAATAAATTTGAGGTATCAGTAAACTGTTCATTCAAATCTTACTGTAATTAGTATAACCACATGAGCATTCACCGCAGGTGCTACGTAAACTAACGAGTAACAATCCGGAAAAGTTGAATAATAAATGAGAGCAAATACACAATTTCTTTGATTGTTGATGTACATGCACTACTTCGTTAAGATATGATATCAACCCATAAGTGCTTTCTGATTTTTCAACGATTGTTTAGCTAAGGTCGCCCTCTTATATGAATTATTTATAAATACATTATCTTATTCGCAGAAGTGCGTCAATAATCAAAATATAATCATTTTGACAGTGTATGGATTAAAGTTTATCATCATTTCGACTCGCAGGTAAAAATTATTCCTAGTCGCTTTTAAGTGCATTATAATCTTGTACTTCCCAAACGTGCAAAACGTTATACCAATAAATATTCAGGAATTTTCTTGTTGGACATATTAATTCTCAAATAGTCTTAATGGAAACTCGAAATTGAAATCACATTCGTCTCAAGTGGTTTCCGTTTAACTGACCTTCGGTGTATGCATTATCGGATAAATTAATTCACCATGGTTCTCATTCGTTCAGCCTAATATTTGCTTTCAAAAAGCCTGTGTGACATTCGTCCAGTGTGATTTCTTTAATTAGTAATCATAGAGTAATCTGTATACAGTCAAATAAATTCGAAAGTGAAAAAATTCTCTTTGACTTTTACTGATAAATATTAATTAGAGGATTCATCTCTTAAAGCACGAAAAGCTGTGAAGGAAAAGAAGCCGCAAAATCCTGATACAAAAGGCACAGTCAGAAGTTGATGTCGTTATCACAAATCATACCATTTCGAAAAGTTAGTCATCTGAAATAGGCACATCTTCGAATAGTTTGGCATCCCCATGAAACTCAAAAAGTAGCTCCGAAACTAGGGTGCATGCTTAACAAGTAAAATTTAAGAAGAACTACAAAATCATGTCACAAAATAAATGCAGTTAATAGACACTATATGTTGTCACTCATTCACAGTACAAACTATTATTGATCTACACTTTTGTGTCAATTAGCTGCTGTTATTAGCTCAACTATAATTTTCTCATAATTCATTGTTTATCAAAATCAATACGGCGAACCTTTAATTCACTAGTATATTTCAGCCTCTGTTACCTTTGATAAATCCGAAAGCCTACTGCCAGTCTATATATCAGGCATAATATACAACAATATTAATAGTATAAATAGCATCTGTAACTCATCAGGTATACCAAAACGTATACTATCTGTTTCTAAAAGGCTTTTATTCTAAGGTTCTTTCACTCCTCTGAAAAAATATAAATAATTACCTTCAATACAATAGAAAATGATATTTGCTGACGACAAAAACAGCTTTATTCTTAGACAGCAACTTATAGAGAAATTACTTAGAAATATTTCGATCCATATATCCACCGACTCAATCATATATTGTGTTCTCACTTTTATACAGAGCATAAAAAATAAACTTTTTGAAGAGTTAAAAGGTGCCGTAACGAGCTTTTATGGTTGGCAAAAATGAGTTCAGCAAGCTTATTTGGAATGAGTTATTTTTGTATCTAGAAAGCTAGTAACAGTTATCTGTACCATTTCAATAATTTTCCCAGGTAATTCATGGCTTATATCTAGCGAAAGTGTATTCACAGGGATTTCTCATCAAGCTTTACAATAATATCGATTTGAAACATTTGACCCTTTGTAGTTAAATAGATTAGACTACATTTATTTCATTTATATAGTAGCAACTAATTCCAAGAAAAAATCGCGCAAACCCCCAAATCACTGTACTTTATTAAGAATTTTGAAGTGTATGAGATAGAAACCACCTAAACAACAAAATACGTGTATTATTAGTCAACTGTACAATTATTAAGAAGCTAAAAAGAGAACTAATATTGAAAAACAATAAAGACACAAAGGATGACCTTCGAGATTTTTCAATGTAACCAGAATATAGAGCTATCAGTTTTGTAACCTAGTATAAGATAAAGAGACTTAATAAATGATTTTCGTGTTCATAAGATTGGCAATAATATTATATCTGTACCATCTGCTACGCGTAACAACTCTGGGAGCTTTAGGATCACTATATATTCGTCCCCAGTATTAAAAAAATGAAACGCCATCTGAGTAGCTGTCATTGTTATCCGATGAAAGATCTCATTTGTGTCCCGTTGAAATAGCAAGGAAGCAATTATCATACCGCAGACGCAACGTCATTCCCTGTGATCCCAAAATAATATAGCCTGACATCTATTGAGTTCTAACGTTAAGACGTTATTCCTCGTGCATTCTTTCAGTGACACCAGATCTCACTGAAGCTGTATAGCCAGTGAAATGTCACAGAGCCCTTGCCAAATCATCCGGCAGTCGAGTCACTGAATCTTAAACGGTTCATCGATCCTCGTCAATTTCAAGGACAACCAATGCACATCAATTAATCGCACTCCATAGACTGGCCCATACAGTGGTGGTCGCACTCTCTTCACTATACCTACTCTTAATAATCTATTTCTGTAATAACGTCCTTTGTGTTGTACAGTCATCAAAACACACATAATGCCTGGATACGACGAAAGGATAGTCAACGTTGGGTTCTGACCGCAAAGTGTGACTTCAAAATTAGGTGGCTCGTCATGTCATTCTCGTCTAACTTGAGTAGGCCCCCAATCCTTCGACACAAATCATCTACATTGGTGATCTGCAAAGCTTCTGTGAGTCCTTTCAATTTCCAGCCGCTATTTATTGTGCAACCGTTAGAAAAGTTGGACACGGCTAAACTAAGTTTTTTGGAGTCTCTAGTAAATATTCAGTACAAAAAACACAGATGGCTCTCTGTGGCAACCTGAACATTGACCTTTTGGTAATCTGAAGTCGAGAAGCATGCCTACACGTCTCCAGCATATACTGTTGATGACCCACATTGTCGCGATGGATAAGAACTTTCACTCTATGCAATCGACATGTTTTTATGTTCGAGCTCTAGAAAGAGCACCAAAGTATACAAAGCTTATTTGCACTGTCTTTTATCCCAATCTCCTTATTTTTGTAAAACTTTTGTCTGTTATGGGGAGACCGCTATAGAAAAGTTTGAGGAAACGGCACAAAAGCCCCGAATTTCCAAAGGTCTGAAGAAAATCCTCGAAGGTTTGGAGAAATCCCCGAAATGTTCCGGTAAATATTTGATTCTACCTTGTATTCATACAGAGTCTTATAGCACTTTGAGGTTTTCCCCAAAAACTTCCCCAAACTTTGGGTAAAACCCCAAAATTTCCTTAAGGTAGTGAGATTGGGATAGACTATATGAAACACGCCCTAAGCAAACTATGTAAATACTGAACATTTAACTAAAAAACGTCATGCTAGACTGCTGAATTCGCGTCATACAGCCGAAATAAATTTGAAACACTTTACACGTACACGAAAACCCCAAACCCAGCTTCTTATCCAACAGTCAATTTAAAAATGTCACATTTAATGCCTTCAGTTGAACGATCTGTTGAGAGACTTCAACAAATTCAGGGAGTTCAATATCTGATTTTTACACTATCTTCCTTCTGTTTACTTTCGGTTCCGGGTAAGTGTTAGTGTAGTTACTCAAATAAACTAGTTCTAATCATTTTGTTTGTTACTCTTGGGTTTTTATATCCTGTTGTATGAGTGAGTACGTTTGTTTCATTGCAGAACAGGCTATGGAATCGACAACCAACATATCATCAAACCAAAGATTAACTGTCCGAAAAATAAAAAGTAATGGAGAAGAACTTCGGATGAATGACTGAGCAAAGACGATATTTGGAAGAAGTAAATTGAATAGTGATGCGAACAGTGTTAGCAGACAGGAGTTTAAGGATAAAAGAATAACGGAGATGAAAATTTGAATGACATACGGCGATCACATAGGTATAAATCTTACGAGACGAGTACAAGATATAGCTAATTCAAGCACTGGAGGGCAATCCATAAGTGAAAACGTGTTTGTCATGTATCACCTCAGCTGAGAAATCATTCTGCATAAAGCTGACTCATATTGAAGCAAATTCTGGTAGTACTCAGGTTTTTACTCTTCGGTGTGTAACTTTTTGAGGACTGTACACGGGGCTTGGTTGTGTGGTTCTGGTAGTGCGTTTGTGTTGGAGTGGCTTGACGTTTCTATTCTGTGGTGTTCCATTGTCAATTCACATCCCTTTCTCTCATCGCTCAGCTAAAAGGGCCACAGGTTTTGGTGTCTATCTTCTTTAAGAACCTCTTCTTTCACTCACTTCATTGCTGGGATATGCACTTAGTCTAAAAGATTTACAACAACTTTTTTGAGAAGACGGAGGACTACAAGGTTGCAACTATAGAGTAAAACCCACGCAACGGGTTAGATGTCAAATATTATCGTGTGGAACTCCTGGTATTAAAACGCTATTAACCTTGGTACAAGACTGATGCAAAAGTAACGAAACGGATTTCTGCTGTTTTATTCCGGGTCCTTGTGATCGGACAGTAATGAATTGAAGCGAATGTTTCAGTTTATTCCGAACATCTATCAATTCGCGTAGACTGTTTGTCTGCTGCTAATGGACCTTGACTAACTGGTGACACGATGATAGTGAGATAACAGCCGTAAATAACGATTAACGACCCTCGGTCTAGAATGCAGTTCTCTGATCTTCGCCCAGGATAGAACTCAACTTTAATTACACCATTCTGTTGAATCAGGGGACTAAATTATTGGTAACATCCGTGAAACATTTAAAGATTGTCACCATATGTATATATATATATATATATATATATACTGTATAACTATTAAGTGGCTGGATCACATATAGTTACACTTCTTTTATCCTGAGAAATTTTTCGACTTTTTAGCTACTACAATGTGATTTACTTACTTACTTACTTACGCCTGTTACCCCATGTGGAGGAGCATAGGCCGCTCACCAGCATTCCCCATCCAACTCTGTCCTGAGCCTTCCTTTCCAGTTCTTTAAAGTTACTATTCAGCCTTTTCATATCTGCTTCTATTTCCCGGCGTAGTGTGTTCTTTGGCCTTCCTCTTTTCCGCTTCCCTTCCGGATTCCAAGTTAGGGATTGAGTCGTGATGCACATTGGTGATTTCCTTAATGTATGTCCTATCCACTTCCAACGTCTTTTCCTAATTTCCTCTTCAGCTTGAAGCTGGTTTGTCCTCTCCCATGAAACACTGTTGCTGGTAGTATCCGGTCTGTGAATGTTGAGTATTTTTTGTAGACAACTATTTATAAATACTTGTACCTTCCTGATGATGGTTGTAGTAGTTCTCCACGTTTCAGCTCCATACAGTAGGACTGTCTTGACGTTCGTGTTAAAGATTCTGACCTTGAAATTAGTTGAGAGTTGTTTAGAGTTCCATATGTTCTTCAATTGTAGAAATGCTGCCCTTGCTTTACCAATCCTCGCCTTTACATTTGCGTCCGATCCTCCTTGTTTATCAACGATGCTCCCCAGGTACTTGAATGTTTCCACCTCTTCCAGAGTTTAGTCATCAAGTGTGATTGGGTTGGTGTTCTCCAAGTCAGCTCCTCTCCGGGTTCTCACATCTTCCACTGACCTACGGAATTTTTTGTTGATACAGATGTGATCTATCTGGTTCTCTGTGGTGTGGTCCGGTGAGATCCATGTAGCTTTGTGTATGCGCTTGTGTGGGAATATTGTGCCGTCTATAACCAATTTGTTGAAAGCACATAGGTTTGCAAGTCTCTCCCCATTTTCATTTCTTTCTCCTAGTCCATGTCGTCCGATTATATCTTCATATCCTGTGTTGTCCACTCCAACTTTAGCATTTAGATCTCCCATCAGGATGGTGAAGTCCTTTCTTGAGCACTTTGCTATAATTGATTGCAGCCTTTCATAGAACTGATCTTTATCATCGTCGTCGCTATCATTGGTGGGTGCATAACATTGAATAACGTTCATTGTGATCCCTTGCTTCTTTGTTCTGAATGATGCTTTGATTATCCTGGGTCCATGAGATTCCCATACTACAAGTGCATTTCGTGCTTCTTTGGACAGCATTAGAACAACTCCCTGAGTGTGTGGAGCATTTTCCCCTTCGTGACCGGAGTACAGCAACATCTCTCCTGTACCTAGCCTTTGTTGTCCAGTTTGTGTCCAATGGGTTTCGCTGATTCCGAGTACTGCCAATTTGTATCTCCTCATTTTCATTGCTATTTGGCTGACCTTCCCGGTTTCCCACATTGTCCGGACTTTTCATGTACCTATGTTGATTGTTGCTCTGATTGTTAGAAAGTGCATCGGTCTCGTGACTTCCGAAGAATTTCGGCTTTCGTCATGAGACGTCATAATTATTCCTTCAACTCCCAGGAAAGAGCTTAAATGGTTTGAATTATTTTTTCTGGTTAGCGTTTTTAAGCGAGTTAGATTTTCTACGGGATGGGGTCGCTAACCCCATACCCAACCCTACTCCTTTACCCGGGCTTGGGACCGACAGTAACTCTAGAAGAGCTACAGGCGGAGTTATGTGATTTACTATAACCAATGTATTCTCAATCTATTAGTAACAGTCTTTCATACTCATAGCCACTTCAAGCTTGATCGTTTATGACTTTTTTTATTCCATAGTGTCATTCTATCTAGTCTGCTTGTTTATAATTTACGTACCACCGAAATAAATTATTCATACAGTGGAGATGGATATAATGTTCTGGACTCAACGGACAGAGCTAGGCGAGGAGTTATTATTTCGAGGACCACTAAGCATTCAAAGCTGATTGAAGGTATTGTTTGATCGAATCTTCCGATTGATGTTTAGGACTGCAATTTATCAGTCTCTGGTTAGCAGGAATAGTTAATAAACAAGAATTCGATACCTGAGGAACAATGAAAATGCCTCCAACAAGATGGGATCACATATCTACCTGCAGGGATTCCAGTGACATTTCCAGGCTGACAGTCAAAAATTAACAGTCGCACACTGAACGACGCCGTGAACTTGGGCTTGGTCAAAACGACCTTATTGTCAATAGTCCAGTATCATACAACAGTAAAATTAGGTAAAGAAAGCAGGTCTGTAATCAAATCCACAGAATAAATGTTCAGATGAGGAAGACTGAAGAACATAGAGTGTGGTTAGAAGAGACCTGAATAAATGGTAAACTACAAAATAGAGAGAAGAAACAAGTAAATAACAAAACTGTTTAACAACATGCCACAGAGGGATTTTAGGAGTTCTTCGCTCTATACTATTGGAGTAATCGGTCCGTAAATGTTGCATCTCTCTTGCTCCTTCTTGGATGACTGGAGCGGGAACGGCCTTTCTGTATTATTTTTGAAACTTCTAGGACTCTAACAAGTGCCTGTAATGGTCAAATATTGGTTTCGTGATGGCCTCTATTCAGTGCTTCAGGGTTAGTAATGCGGATAACGTTACGTCTAAATAACTTTCGTGGGCTCAGCGATTTCATTTTCTTTGTTACTGAGCGATGAGTTAAATGGACGTTTCTTAAGGCATCAGCTGATACTAGAGTGGAATAGCGAATCTCCCTTGTTTTTCACTGTTCAAATAAGTTGTGAAATCGGAACTGGAAAGTGTTGCTTCTTCTAGGTCCTCAAGATCTTCACTGCCAAACCCTTTAAAGGCATAGCTTTTCATGTCGTAACGTTTCTGTTTAATCATGAACCCATAGGGATATTTTGGATAGCCTGTATTTTATCGACAGCTTCCCATGGAAATATCTTCTATTGCTTCGTACTTTGGCGTTACATCTCATCCATATTGCCAAGTATGCTTCATAGCCGGAATCCTCTAGGGAAACTTTTGATTCAATTCGGACTACACATTTCGCCCTAAGTAAACTTCTGTGTCTCTTATTAAATGGAATGTTCCCTCTACATATCTGACTTTCGCTCGAATTTTGTTGTAAAGCTCTGTGGTAATTTTCTGTTGGCCTCCATCACACCTGTGCACGTGAGGTGTGTTGAAGATGCCGTCCCACGGCTGTAATTATAGTTTTCATAGTCCCACCTCTGTCGTAAGCTACGGCAAGTGTTTAACAAACGATTTGTGATTTAGTGTCATTTTGTGAATGCATGGTTTATCTTGAGATTATATTTTAACAAGCTGAGTGCCATCTCTCTTGTTCTGACCAGCTTGTTTTGTTTTGCACTTCCACAGAAATGATGTGACTGTCACCTCATGAGGATGAGGCGGTTCAAGATGAATTATTGATAATAGTTAACAAGACGAAGGTGTACGTAGCACGTAAGGCACATCAGAATGTTCATAAGTGTATTTTCTAGTTTTGGAATATTTCGAATTTCTGTGGTATTCTCGAGGAGGTCCAACGAATAGATTACGATCCGGTATTTAGTGTGCTAATAGTAATATCGCGTTTCTGAAGTCCTTTAAGCGTAGGATCGAGATGTTTGTTGTTCTTCGCCCTATTCTCAATCGCAAAGCCGTGAACATTTGTAATC